CTTGAGACTTGGCAATGTGGGTGTAATCAGGTTAGTTTTTTCATAATCTAATTGTAATAGGTCAAAGTCACATTATAATTTGACCTTGCTCGGTCAGGGACAATGTAATATGCGAGCAAAAGAAGAGATGGGTATACCAAATCAGGATCTAAATGCTCTCATCTTCACCCTTCTTCATCACTTATGTTACAGTTCCTGCCCTCTAGACAGGGCATGCTAATGGACGAGATTTGTGACACAAAAGCTGTGAATTTGGAATTCTTACTAAAATTTTGACTATTCCGGGCTTTGGATTTGAATTTGTCAGTCAAATTCATGTCTTCTTGCTTGTAAGGAAATAACTGATTGCATTCTTGTATGGATGTTAGAGCTGGGACAGTTATATCTGAAACATGGGAGGATGGACAAGCACTGAAAGATCTAAATGCTCATCTTGTAAGTCATCTTTATACTTTTGTCATAACTATATTCGAAGCGAATTTGTTTTTTTTTTTTTCAAATATCCTATTAGGTTATTGTTCTTTATTATTAGCAAACTATGGAGCAGGTATATCTTACTTCTTTTGATCTTTGTTATGGATAAAATATTCTCATGAGAAAAGAAAATAGGTTGGACATATGATAGGCATAATATTTGGTGAATAGTACCTCCTTACTATCAGGTCAATAATGTTTCTCTCACGCATTAGTTTGTATATTTTTTGCCTTTTAGTTTTCTCAACGTGGAAATTATTCTTATGATAAGTTGTACATTTATTTCATTTGTTCATTGCAAATAACTTTCCTATTTTTCAGAAACAATTACTAGAAACCAAGGAAGCAATTGAACGTCAACGCAAATTCTTGAAGAAAAGACAGTCGGGTAAGTTCCTTCAAAGTCTCTCTTCCCACCCATATTTCAAGGAGAAAACAATTCAATAATGTTTGCACTAAGAATTTATGGATTTCATCTATACGTGCGCTGCATCAAAGCTCAATGGCTATTCCGAACATTCTCAAGTTTTAAATGCTACATTTTTGTTTTGATATTTAAGAAACCTCTTTTTCTCTCACCTTCATGTCCTGTTGTATTCTGACATCAAGCTTCGAAAATGCTATCTTGCGATAAGGTTTTTAAAAATTTAAGATATGAATATATGCTAGCTGTCTATTTTTTTAAAGTTCAGCCATCTAGAAGTGACTGTTCCTTCTAATTTAAAGACAAAGGTGATGGGACCGACACTGAATCAGGAGCCCAAGAAGAGGACAGTTTCATTCAGGATGAGATCTACAAATCCCGTCTGGCAAGCATCAAGCGTGTTAGTTCCTTTGTCGTGTTGTGTTGTTTCTTTAGTTATTAAAACATTTGTGTTTTTACACTTCAAATTTACATAGGTGACATCTCTATCTTATCATTATTTATTTTCTGTGTAGGAAGAAGAAACTATTCTACGTGAAAGGGACCGCTATGAAATTGATAAGGGAAGGCTCATACGTGAAATGAAGCGAATACGAGATGAGGAGGGTTCCCGTTTCAACAATTTTCAGATTTTAAATTACAGATTTGCCCTTTTAAACCTTCTTGGGAAAGGAGGATTCAGTGAGGTTTACAAGGTCAGAGTTTTGTACTGGATCATTATTTCTTGACATTCTCTCAAAAAACTTGTCTGAGTTAAATTGCTAGGAAAAAAACACAAGACCATCTTTGCCTACATTTGGAAACTGTAAAGATACACCTTTTTGCAGTGATTTTGAAGTACAAAATTTCCAGCAGGCTTATGACTTGGTTGAGCATAGATATGTTGCATGTAAGCTGCATGGACTGAATGCTCAGTGGAGTGAAGAGAAGAAGCAAAGTTATATAAGGCATGCAATTAGGGAGTACAATATCCACAAAACATTGGTGCACAGTCATATTGTACGGCTCTGGGACATTTTCGAGATTGATCAAAATACATTCTGTACAGTCTTGGAATATTGTAGTGGTACATTTCTATTCTCCCTTATGAATCTGAAGTGCTTTTCATTACACTATATATTTTTCCTTTTTATCTTCATATGGAAAAATCATGAATCTTTGCCTTTCATCTTGCATTATCTGTTGGACATTTTTTTGCCTCTAGGGAAGGATCTTGATGCTGTCCTGAAGTCAACACCAGTATTGCCCGAGAAAGAAGCCAGGATTATCATAGTTCAGATATTTCATGGCCTTGTTTACTTGAACAAAAGGGCACAAAAAATCATCCATTATGACCTAAAACCTGGTAACGTTCTATTTGATGAACTAGGCGTCGCAAAAGTGACAGATTTTGGTCTAAGTAAAATAGTTGAGGATGATGTTGGATCTCAGGGTATGGAACTCACATCTCAGGGTGCTGGAACATATTGGTAAATGTCTAACTTTTCTGCACACTTTTTGGCTTTTGATATGTTTTAAAATTTATTATCCGTTTTTAAGTAATGAACTAATGGTTTTTCTTTTGGATTTTATATCGTTTCTTTAACGTTTGTACAGTTAATTCGTCTTAATGCCCTAGTGCATATTGTCCGTTAACAACTTCTTTTGGCATTTGTAGGTATTTACCTCCCGAATGCTTTGAGCTCAGCAAGACACCTTTAATATCATCTAAGGTTTGTTGTTTTATAGTTTATTTTCTCTGTCCCACTCTTGTTTAGGTTATTCTATTGTCGTGCTCGTGCTCATTCCTCTTCCTATCTAGTTGGACATATGTCAAATTTGAGTTATCCTGAATGAAACCAAAAGACTCACAAAAGGGGGTGAGGGATAAGATGATTATGCCCCAAATTCACCCTCCATGCTTTTGAATAATTCTCTAGCTGGCTTGAATTCAGAAGGGTTTGCAGTTTCAAAAGAACCTAATTAAAGAGCTCCACCCAGAAGCTTAATAGGCCAACTCCATCATTTTAAACTCGCAGTTTCTCTCTAGCCAAGTCACCCAAATATAGCTGTAAAATGTAGTTTGAGAGTGCTAAGCTTCATTGTGATTTGCGAAGTTAGCATGCACGTTCTTCTTAAGTTTTGAGTCTTCTATGACCTGCCACCTTCTGAAACCAGGTTGATGTCTGGTCAGCGGGAGTACTCCTATATCAAATGCTCTTTGGCAGACGTCCATTTGGGCATGATCAGACCCAAGAAAGAATACTTCGTGAAGACACAATTATAAAAGCTCGTAAAGTCGATTTTCCTACTCGACCAGCTGTCTCAAACGAAGCGAAGGTGAGCAGGGGTCTTGTTTGCATTTGCTCAATTCCCTTAACATGCATTTTCTTCACGATATACCATGACCATCCTTGTTGAAAAGTCCATGCTTCCTACCATATTTTTTTCCTATGTTATAACATCGAAACTTGTAGCAGTCAAACAAAGGTGTTATATGATGTCGTGCAGGATTTTATACGACGTTGTTTGACGTATAGCCAAGCAGAGAGACCTGATGTTTTAACGATAGCTCAAGATCCATACCTAACATATTCAAAGAAGTAAGTATGGTTCTTGGAGATCCACATTACAGGAATTAACAAGTTATATCTTTTTCAACAGCAAGCCAGGAAAGCATAGGTAACTCATGGAGACTGTAAACACAGCAAAGGGCCGGTATGCCATTAATGGTTGATCAGAGAGGGGTCCTTTTGAGTGATATAAACTTGAGTGACTTGAATTCTCCTGTCCTATCTCCAATCCAAATAATTGGAGGCTTGGCGAAGTCTGTAGTTTGGAAAGTGGCCCTTTGGGTTTAAGGGCAGGGTGACCTACAATCCATGTGGTGGTGTGTGTTCAGTGTTGTGAGAATGGGCTAGATAGATAGATAGATAGATGCCCCTAAAATGGGGGGAAGTTTTGCTTTTCTTTTGTTTGCCTTTCGGAAAATGATTGATTTTGATGTATTAAATATTTTCTTTAGCTCACATGGCTGGCATGGCATTGCATTTCTACCATGGTTTCGTTTCATTCATGTACGTACGTACGTGCATACAACAAGCATATGAAAATCTCCTGAAATGAAAAATGTCACTTATTTATGTATTTATTATATATAGTATTTAATAAAGAAATGTTACCACGACTACCATAGCATAAAAATAAAAATAAAAATAAAATGGGTTTTCCCAATGGAAAATGACATTCCATTGCTATTCACAGCTTGTCGGCCACGCAGGTTGTGTCTCCCAACGGCTATCAATTTTAAATGCCTTGGCCATAAAACAACAATAATACTACATGAAGGAGACCTATTTTTCATATTTATGTATATTTTTCTATTTTTCCATATATACATTAATAATAATAATAATAATTTTATATTTTTTATATGATATTCCACGTGGCTAGATGTGATTTGTGAATAGAGTATGCACCGTTTAGAGACAATTGGCAAAGTTATGCGTGCCACTTTTCTGCATTCACCAATCCCCAATGCATTTCTTACGTTCTCAAATTTTTGTTTTTTCTTAAATATTCATTTGCTTTCTAATTTCGAACAATTTTACATTCCCAATTTTGAGTTATCATAATCCAAGTTTATATTGTCCATATAATTTATTTTTAGTAGTACGTGCCGCCCGCTCCCGAGCTGAAATATGTTCAGCTTTTTTGTTCACTTTATCAATTTACTTTTTATAAATCTTCTATGCACGTGGATCCATCAACAACGTTTATAATTCAATTTTGTTTAGATCATCTATATGTGACCACAGATATTTAACTCGTCATTTTGATCGAACACATGTCTAATCAATTACGTTAGGCTACATACATACAGCTCAAGGTGAGCTATCCAAATTTATAACTTACTAACCCTACTTAAAGTTAAACCTTCCCTATTTATAGAAAAACAAATTATTAAATTGCTTCATCTCATAATTAAATTTTGATTTTGGAGTACTCATAAAGAAAATCTCTTTTCATTAAATAAAAAAGAAAAGAAAAAAAAACGCAGTTTTCTTTGAAGTTTGAATTAATAATGGATAAGAAGATGAATAAAATAATACTAAAAGCTTAGTATATAAATGTCCATGAACTCCATCTTCGTCTACGTAGATTCCCATTTCTCTCTGTCAGAACCATTCTGCCATTTCTTTCACTTAGGCTGTGCTGCTCTCATTTTGTAAGAATCATTTTCTTCTTTTTTTTTCTTCTTTTATTCTTCATCAAATGCTCTGTGGCTCTGCATTTGCTTACACCCTGTTTTTACGTGCTTGAATTGCCAATTAGTAGTGTGTTCGATTGATTTTGCTGCTGCTGTTGTTGTTTTTGGGCAAGATTTTGTGATTGTTCTTGTAACTCTATAATGCTCTGTTTAATCATCAGATATTAAGCAGCTTGAGTTTCATAGCCCGAAATGACGCGGTTCTTAAAACCCTTTGTGGGGTTTTGGCTGCTGCTGTGCTGCCTGGCCGTTCTTACAGATGCAACTTACCTGAAGTACCAAGACCCTAAACAGCCGTTGGGTGCTAGAATCAAAGATCTTATGGATCGGATGACTTTGGAAGAGAAAATTGGGCAGATGGTTCAGATTGAACGGAAAATTGCAACTCCGGACGTCATGAAGAACTACTTCATTGGTATTATCGCATTCTGCACTCTAGAATTGATTCCCCTATTTGGCTGAACTAGATTGTGTGTGCTTAATGTCTACTTAGAATTGATTCCGCTGTTTGGCTGAACTAGATTGTGTGTGATTAATGTTTACTTTCTCAGTAAGGATTATTGTAATGGATGGATGTGTATTATACTGTATTTGGACAGGGAGTGTACTGAGCGGTGGAGGCAGTGCACCGGCGGAGAAAGCGACGGCGGAAACTTGGGTCAATATGGTGAATGAGATCCAAAAGGGCTCTCTATCCACCCGTCTTAAGATCCCTATGATTTATGGGATCGATGCCATTCATGGTCACAATAATGCGTACAATGCCACTATCTTTCCTCATAATGTTGGTCTTGGAGTTACCAGGCAAGTAAAGTAGTCTAGAAGCAGAGCATTCCCTAAGTCTTTTGTGTGTATATGATTTGATAATCTTGTATTATGCTAATGGAAGTTTGAGGTTTGATAAGGATAATCTCTTGATTTTTTGAATTGATACACCAGATTAGCAAGAAAAATCCTTGAACACGTTTCTTGACTTTAAATTGTAGCCCAAAATTTTGTTCGGAGGATTGGAGACGCTTATTTATGATGTGGTTTGCTTATGACTTAACTTTTCACATCAGGGACCCGGAACTTCTTAGGAGGATAGGAGAGGCCACAGCGCTTGAAGTGAGAGCAACTGGAATTCCTTACGTTTTTGCTCCATGTATTGCGGTAACATTTTAAATCATTTTCATGTGTTGAGGATGGTTGGGGGAGGAGTCCACTGGCTAATTAAAGAGTTGGTCATGGGTTTATAAGTAAGAAATACATCTCCAATAGTATGAGGTCTTTTGAGAAAACCAAAAGCGAAGCTATGAGAGCTTATGTTCAAAGTGGACAATATCATACCATTGTGGAGAGTTGTGATTCCTAACATGGTGTCAAACAAATGGTGTACTTTGTTGGAGAGCTCCAGAGAAAAAGGAGTCGAACTTTGACTAAGAGGAGGTTGTTTGAGGACTCCATAGGTTTTAGGGAGACTCTATGGTGTATTTTGTTCGAGGGGAGGATTGTTGAGGATTGTTGGGAGAGGAGTCCCACTAGCTAACTAAGGGGTTGGTCATGAGTTTATAAGTAAGAGAATACATCTCCATTGGTATGAGGCCTTTTGGATAAACCAAAAGCAAAGCTACGAGAGCTTATGCTCAAAGTGGACAATATCATATCATTGTGGAAAGTCGTGGTTCCTAGCATGGTGTTAGAGCTATGACCTTAACTTAGCCATTTCAATAGAATTCTCAAGTGTCGAACAAAAAAGTTATGAGTCTCGAAAGTGTAGTCAAAAGTGACTCAATCGAACAAATGGTGTACTTTGTTCAAGGCTCTAGAGAAAAGGAGTCGAGTCTTGAAGGGGAGACTGTTTGAGGACTCCATGGACTTTAGGGTAGGCTCTATGGTGTACTTTGTTCGAGGGGAAGATTGTTGAGGATTGTTGGGAAAGGAGCCTCACCGGCTAATTAAGAGGTTGATCATGGGTTTATAAAAAATACATCTCCATTGGTACGAGGTTTTTTGGGAAAATCAAAAGCAAAGTCATGAGAGCTTATGCTCAAAGTGAACAATATTAGTGGAGAGCCGTTGGTTCCTAACAAGGAGAAGATGAAATATGCTTACAATTTCTTCCCTAAGTGTACTTTAGTTATAGATTTTTACTTACGGTTTTCGGGCTATGCAGGTGTGCAGAGATCCTCGATGGGGTCGGTGTTACGAGAGCTATAGTGAAGATCATAAAATTGTTCAACAAATGACTGAGATCATACCTGGATTGCAAGGAGCAATTCCTGCTAATTCAAGAAAAGGGATTCCTTTTGTTGGGGGAAAGTAAGATCCCTTTTCACCGGAATTTATTTGAATATATTGCATTTACCACTTTTATATTTTGAACTTATTTCGCTTCAGACAAAAAGTTGCGGCCTGTGCTAAGCACTTCCTTGGAGATGGTGGCACAACCAGAGGCATCGATGAAAATAACACTGTGATTGACTATAATGGATTGCTTAGCATTCACATGCCTGCATATTATAACTCGGTTAACAAGGGAGTTGCAACAGTAATGGTCTCTTACTCGAGCTGGAACGGAGTGAGAATGCACGCCAATCGTGACCTTGTCACTGGCTTACTCAAGAACAAGCTCAAGTTCAAGGTATAGAAAGAAATTAACTAACAAGTGATATTCTTATATTGTAGAAGCTCAGAAAGAATGTTCTTTTGTTGGTTGTCTGTAGGGTTTTGTCATATCTGATTGGCAAGGAATTGACAGGATCACCTCTCCTCCTCATTCTAATTATTCATATTCAGTTCAAGCTGGAGTTAGTGCTGGAATTGACATGGTAAGTCAATTGTCCGCTTTGATTTGTAACATGTAACACGACCATCATACATTTCCTATGACTATGGAAGAAATATGGTTTTAATTACGTTCGATGTGCTTCGATCTGGACCCTTGTGATTATGTTCTTAATGGTGATGCAGGTCATGGTTCCAGAAAACTACACAGAGTTCATTTACGAACTCACTCGTCAGGTGAAAAACAATATCATACCAATGAGCAGGATCGATGATGCTGTTGAGAGAATATTAAGAATCAAATTTCTTATGGGTCTGTTCGAGAATCCGTTGGCGGACTACAGCTTAGTCAACCAACTCGGGAGCAAGGTTTGGCACTTGTTTTGTTGGAGTTAGTTGGAAAATGATATACCTGAAGTGTTTAGGCTTTGATGAACTGAACTAAAATGTTGGCCTTCAACAGGAACATAGAAAATTGGCTAGGGAGGCCGTAAGAAAATCACTTGTGTTGTTGAAGAACGGCCCCTCTGTCGATAAGCCAATGATTCCACTTCCTAAAAAAGCTGCGAAGTTATTGGTTGCAGGGACTCACGCCGACAACTTAGGCTACCAATGCGGAGGCTGGACGATCACATGGCAGGGTCAGAGCGGCAATGATCTTACTGCTGGTATGCTTTCACTGTTATTTCCGGATAAGATAGAAACCAAAAAGATAATTCTTGACATGGAATTGATCTCAATACTACGTCCATATAAACAAAGTTCATCTGTGAACAGGTACCACCATCCTCAATGCTGTGAAGAACACGGTCGATCCTGCGACTCAGGTAGTGTACAACGCCAATCCAGATGCGAGCTTTGTCAAGTCAAATGAGTTCTCGTTTGCCATTGTTGTTGTCGGGGAGCCTCCGTATGCTGAAACGTCTGGCGACAGCTTGAATCTCACCATCTCTGAACCTGGTCCTAACACCATAAGAAATGTGTGCGGCAATGTCAAATGTGTCGTTGTTGTCGTCTCAGGTCGCCCTGTTGTGATGCAGCCTTATGTTGGAATAGCCAATGCCCTTGTGGCTGCTTGGCTTCCAGGAACAGAAGGCCAAGGTGTAGCTGACCTTCTCTTTGGTGACTATGGATTCACTGGGAAGCTTGCTCGTACTTGGTTCAAGACTGTTGATCAACTCCCAATGAACGTGGGTGATTCACATTATGATCCACTCTTTCCATTTGGATTTGGTTTGACAACTAAACCAAACAAGTACTAGAAAAAAACAGCATCTTAGAGAACTTGAAGGAGGATATATTTCATCTTCTTGTTACCTATACCTACCTTTCATTTGAAGGATGTGATGAGGATATATTTACTAGGCCCCTCTTAGTCTTGTTTTAGAGGCATTTGTAACTCTTTTCTATTAATCTTAATCTCCTCCCATTCTTATAATTCTTGTTATAATATTACCAACACATCAGTTAAAACAAAAATAACAACTAATATATTAAATGTAATAGTCTACCGCTAATAGATATTGTCTGCTTTTATCCGTTACTTATTGCCTCAACCTCATGATTTTTAAATGCGTCTATCAAAAAAAGGTTTCTCCAAACAATGTCTAATCTTACAATCTACCCATTTTGGAACCCAACGTCCTCGTTGGCACAGTGGCTGATGTTTCGATACCATTTTGTTAGAGAAATCTCTTCAAAATCGTGAGGTTGAGAAGATATGTAACGGGCCAAAGTGAACACTATCTGCCAGTGGTAGATTGTAACGTTAAAATTGTAATTGAGCCTAAAAAAGAAAAAGTAAATAAAACATAACAAAAAAGGGACTATTTTTTTTTTGGGTGAAGACATGCGTAGTTGTAAAAAGAAAAAAAAAGGGAAATTGAAGAAAAATGTGGGAAAGAAAAGACTTGGTCAACTTTGAAGCCACCCATTTTGTTGTGTCGCACAAAATGTTCTCGTAGCCTTTCTTTCTGTCTCTCCAATTCTGAATCCTATTCTTAGCTCTGTTTTTTGCCCCTCCGTCCGTACATCCTCTGTTTTCCTCTTTCTTCAATGCCATCAAAGTTCCCTCTTTCCCTTCACCCCTTCTTCAGCCCCATCACACCCACACAAGCACCTTCTCCTTTAATTGCCTAACCACCGCGGTCTTAATTAAAAGGGCGCGCACGCCGCCGCCGCGTGCATTACCATAAAATTTCAGAACTATGGCAAGCCCATCTCCACCGCCGGCCACCTCCACCACCTTCACCATCCTTCTCATTTTGATTTCCTTTGAGGTCTTTTCATCGAAGGCTGCTTCTACAGATGCAGAAGCGCTTCTCAAGTTCAAAGGGTCTCTCGAAATGAGCAATGATGTGTTGGGAAATTGGGCCGCCGGGTCCTCCCCTTGCACCGGCGACAAGGCGAACTGGGTCGGAATTCTTTGCGAGAAGGGGAATGTCTGGGGATTGAAGCTGGAAAACATGGGGCTCAAGGGTCACATTGACGTTGAGTCTCTGGAAGGGGTGCCCCAATTAAGGTCAATCAGTCTTATGAAGAATGACTTCGATGGGTCTCTGCCGGACGTCAAGAGACTCGGGGCATTGAAATCTCTGTATTTGTCAGGAAACCACTTCTCAGGGGACATTCCTGGGGATAAATTTTCAAGCATGTTGTCTTTGAAGAAAGTTCATTTGGCTCAGAACCATCTGGAGGGGCAGATTCCTTGGTCCTTGGCTGAGTTGCCTCGATTGTTGGAGCTCAGGCTTGAAGGGAACCACTTTTCTGGCCAAATTCCTAATTTTGCGCAGAAGACATTGAAGGTCTTTAATGTCTCCGGCAATGAACAACTTCGTGGCTCAATCCCACGAGCTTTCAGCAACTTCGATCCATCCTCCTTTACAGGTCACAACAATAATCTTCATATATTTCTTGCCCATAACTTTCAGATTCCATTTGATATCATATCATAAAACTGCCTATAAATGCTTCCTTTTGATGGGGATAGCTCAAGAAAATTTGAAGTTTTGGACTTGTATAATAAGCTAATTCTCCCATTCCCATATGCAGGCCTTCACTGTTTATGTGGAAAACCACTTGATAACCCATGCACCACTTCAAAAATGCCATCAATTGCGAGCATCATAATGGTTTCAATAGCTGTGACAGCGGCTCTACTTGCCATCGGAGCCGGAATAGTCATCCTTAGCCGTCGAAACCAATCGTCTTCTAATGAAGAGAATCCAGCCCACAGCAAATCTCCAAATGCTAGTGCGTCAAGTCCAGCAATCGGGTCGAGGTCACCCGATCGAGGCTCCAGTCATGGAAGCGGAGCGGGTAAACGGGCAGCCGAGAGTGCTAAGTTGTCATTTGTAAGAGATGATACAGAGAGGTTTGATTTATCAGACTTGCTTAAAGCCAATGCAGAAATCCTAGGAAGTGGATGCTTTGGATCTTCCTACAAAGCAGCCTTGACCAATGGACCTGTGATGGTTGTGAAGAGATTCAAGCAAATGAACAATGTGGACAGAGAGGAATTCCAAGAACATATGAGGAGAATTGGAAGGTTGAAACACCCCAACTTACTTCCTCTCGTCGCCTACTACTACAAAAAGGAAGAAAAACTTCTCATTACAAACTATGTTGAGAAGGGTAGCTTGGCTGTTCAACTTCACGGTATATTTATCCTTAATATTGTAACCTACCAACTTACACTTTGAATTTTGTGATAACTTAACATGATTGATATCGAACAATAAGTTCTTTAGTCAGGTTCGTTCCTGTAAGGCACAAGTGAAAGAAGAGTGTTAAAAATGTGCATAATAATCCATCAACTTAAACTTTTATATGATATTAGAGAAGAAGATTATATGTTCCAACTTTTATGAAGTCCACCAAGGAAAGGTTAGTGATAAATATATCATATCATATCATATTAGTTTAGACTTTTGAGTTGTACCGATCTAATATTTACCTGTGCTTCACAACTTGGCTGAATTGGATTCTCTTCTCCATCCCTTTTAGGGCACCAAGCCGTGGGACAACCAGCCATTGATTGGCCTTCAAGGTTGAAGATCATCAAGGGCGTTGCAAAGGGTCTTCGTTATCTCTATGCTGAACTTCCGAGTCTTATAACCCCACACGGCCATCTCAAGTCCTCAAATGTCCTTCTCAAGGCCAATTTTGAGCCCCTTCTTTCAGACTATGGCTTGATCCCGGTTGTGAACCAAGAACACGCCCAAGAGCAAATGGTGGCTTACAAATCTCCCGAGTACACTCAACTAGGTCGCATCACAAAAAAGACAGACGTGTGGAGCTTTGGGATGTTGATCTTTGAGATTCTAACTGGGAAATTCCCAGCCAACTTTCTGCATCAGAGCAAGAGTGGCGGCGATGAGGAAAATTTGGCAAGTTGGGTCAAATCTATTCCTGAAAAAGAATGGATCGGCCAAGTGCTTGATAAGGACATGGGGCCAACCAAGAACAGTGATGGTGAGATTACGAAGCTACTGAAGATTGCAATAGCATGTTGCGAGAGCGACTTCGAGAAGAGAATGGATTTGCGAGAGGTTGTGGAGAAGATCGAGGAGTTGAAAGAAAAAGATGGGGATGAAGATTTCTATTCATCATACGCAAGTGAAGCTGATATTAGATCTTCAAGAGGGTTATCTGACGAACTCAATTTCGCCATATGAGCTGGTGCTCGAGTTAAAAAGCCTATAAAGCAACAGTGAGGCCTAAATGGGAAGACTTATATGGCATGCTAATTCTAACTGAAAGAGGAGAGGTTGAAGATGAAGATATAAAATGGAGACAGGGCTTTCCGATGAATAGAATAGGTTCTGAAGGTAGAACGGCAAATTAATGTGTGTTTGCTTTGGCTCCACAATAGGGAAGTTGGGATGCATGATTGATAATTCTCTCCTGGGTGAAAATCTCTAAATTCTTGGGTACTGGGAATCTCAAATTGATTGTTACTATTTTTTCTAAAGAAAAATCTATTTCTAGAAAGCAGTGAAGTAAGCAGACATGCGATTAGATTACACACTAGCATAGGCATAGACTTGTACCACTAAAACAACTTCGCTAAACAATCAGGTTGTGCTCTCCAATTGGGAATTGGATATGAAGTAAATAAGACAGTAAGTGTACTTAATCATATACCTGGAAACAAAATTCAAATATAGCTCATATGGGTAAAGATGAGGTTCGAATCTCTAGGCGTGAGTTGAACCAAACAAAAACTCACCTCCAACCTTATGCATATGCAAACACCTAAACTGATGTGTGCTAAAACTCACCTCTGAACAAATATTTTTCTTGACACAATTCAATCACTAAATTAATAATGGTAGAAAATTTGGTAATAATAACACCATCAATCAAATGACGGGTTAGTCCATGCAGCCTTCATGGGAAAAAGGGAAAAGAAATTAGTCATTTAATATGAAGCAATTTTGTGGATCAAATTCTGTATAACCTACATCAACGAGACTGAGGCCATCAGGAGGCGCAGGAGGTGCAGTGGCACGTCGACATGTGGCATCCATCAGCTTTAGTAACGCATCCTCTCCAGCACCAGCAGCTGCCTCTCTAATTGCTGTCGCAACAAGCACCCGCACCATCTGCAAGGTCATGATTAGATTCCTTTATAATTGGTAGTATTCAACCGAAGACCATAATTAGTGCCATCAAAATATGAAGGAGCCTTATGGTTGTATAACATTGCTATAACTGGGGGGAAATTCCAATGCTTACGCTTAAGTTTGAGCAGTTGGTGAAAAGGTTGGATCTAAATAGGCCAATTTTACGTTCAGTACAATACAACCATTAGCATAATTAACCCTGGAGATGTTACCTTCCTCAAGAAGCGATTAGCAACCAGCTCAACACACATAACACTTCTTCCTACGCCTTGGTCCTGTCAATACAACACTACCACTTAGATCTCTAAATTCGGAATAGGGTTATTCAAGAGCACGTCACTGGTTTTGTTGGAATATTAAGACATGGATAAACAAATAAATATACAAGTCTGTATGATCAGAAAGGAACAGAATTTGTCTAAGGTTATCCAAATTAAGATACTGACAGAAGAGAACGCAACCCTTGTCAATAAAATTTTAATTTGCATTGAATCGAGCTCATGCTTGGACTCGTTTGCTTTGAAATAATTTTCCACAGATTCTATGTCTCCTCGACTGACACTCACTTTCCCACAAATTCATCTTCAGTTCTCTATGTTCTCAACCAGTGGAAAACACAAGGCAAAAAACAAGTTTCTTCCTTTTTTAAGTGTAAGTGAGCATAGAATAATGTTCTACAGTTACAAATCCACAAAGAGATTTCAAGAAGGGGATGAAGGAAAAAGATAATCAAAGAAAAGGAGGTCGAGAGCATGAAGGGACCACAAGTGGATACCAAGCATGGTAATCTAGCTTCCATTGCTCGGGCATG